TTTTAAAATACGTATATTTGTCGGAAGAGTACAAATGCCTAATGATCAAACAGTCTAACAGAAGACCAATCGTTACTCGATATATATATATATAGTACACAAATAAAGTCCATACCTTACCCAAAATGAAATGTACAATCTCATATAGAAAGGCCCCAAAGACCTCCCTACATATGTTTGGCCATCTTTGGGCCATTTACATGAAAAAAGACATTCCCATACTTTCAACAATAAACCCAAAAAAAAAAAAAAAAAAAATGTGGGGGAAAATGAATAGAAAAAAACACTCATGCACATATATTTGACAAGGTATGTGCTCTCATCACTCCAAAATGCAACCAAAAAATGAAAGGAAAAAACATAACCTAAAATAGAAAGTCCTTTGGTGAGCAATGAACCTTATTATATTCTTCCTTTCAAGGGAAGAGCTTGACTTCAATTTTCACCAAACAGCACAAACTTCAAAGCCCCAATCCATATCTCTGCCAACTCCATTGAGATTTTTTTGACAACACTCTTGAATTGGCCCCCCACCAATAATCAATGGCACAATTGAATACAATCTCTCCCCACTCATTCATAACTCCACAAGACTACAACATTTTTTATTTTTTTATTTTTTTTTTCAAACAAGATCCACACTTTCAATACATATTTACCAAACCCCTTGGGAATCTGCAAAAGGCATTAATGAATACCAAATGCCCACCAAGAAAGGGGTTATCAAATTATCATCATTAAGCTCCCCAAAAACACTATTATTGGGGGCATAATTCATAGCATTATAACTTACCAACACTCCATGTCTTAAGACCCTGTTCATTTATTAATCTCCTTCTCTTAAAAGATGGAGATGATGAAGCAGAAGATGACGAGTCACCCGAGTTCAAAAAATTCGCTCGAGGCATGACTCGAAATTGTGGTAGAACCTTTGGTTGCTTGTTAGGCTTAACGTCGATCATGATTTTTCGAATCAATTGGTGACAAGCCATAATTTCATCCTGCAAAGACCAAAAAAAAATTATAATACTTCAATAGTTTTTGCCAAATCTAGTTCATTACTTTTTTCATACTTTATGGAGTCCATCAAACCATGACTCGGCATGTCGAGCAGTAATGTACGAGAATTTCGGTGTATCATGTGCTGCACAGAGTATTGCTGTAGTTGCAATGCAAGATGGCCTATACTCGAAGACATTTTTCTCTGTCGATATTTATAATGAAAAATTAGTTTAAAAAATATTTATACTTTCAAATTGAAATGACATACTTTAACAGCGTTACGAATTTACCTTTAATAGTCGAGAGAATAATTTCGTTCGCCCTTGTTATGAGAAATTCGGTATACATCCCATTCGGATCGATCTTTAGAGCCAAAAATCGAAGGTAGCAAAAAGGTGAAATGGATCTAAGTCTCCAATCTAATACCCTCAAGACATGAAGTTCCATTCTTTGGACAGTCCTCGGTTCGAAAATAAAATTTGCACCTTCGACCTAATATGAAAAATAATAATTTTTATTATTAATTTATTATTATTATTGAAGAAGGAAAAATATTATTGAGGTATAATTAATTTTGTAAGGGACCCCAATTGAGTTAAATCAATAAATATTGTCAGATTTAAGAAAAAGTTTATTTGTAATGTACCTGAAGATCCAAAAGAGAAGGGACCAATGGTTCCTCCATCTTAGCAGCTAATGACAAGCATGCAATGGACAATAGTTGCAAGGCCCATCCGCACATTTTCTGCAATAATTTTGAGACATGTAAGAATTTTGCCCACATGTTAATATATATTATTTATTGTTATGTAAAGAAACAATATTATTAGTTGAAATTTAATTTTGATTGACAAAAATGTATATGCTTATATTGAGCTGATCATATGTAGGATATGTTTGATAAATAAGCTAATTTATAGTTTTAAGTGACTAGTTTATAGTTGATAGCTTATGACTTATAGTTGAAAAACTAACTTATATATGATAAACGTGTTTGGTAAAGTTGATAAGACAGCTGAAACCAACTCAAGGAAGCTTATAATATAAGCTCAAGCTTTTTATAAAAGTTCGTCTTACCAATCAAACTTATTTGAATACAGAAAGCTTATAAACTAATCAAATAAGCTATATATTAGCTTATATGCAGGGGCGAATTTAGATGTATGAGTAGGGGGCAATTGCCCCCCCTCAAATTTTAATTTTTTTTACTATTAATATTAAAAAAAAATTAATTTGTCTCCCCCTTTAAATTTAATTTTGCACCCCCAAATTTTTGTTCTTAAACTTCACTCACAAGAACAAGTAAATTTATTTTTGCACCCCCAAATTTTTTGTTTCTAACCGTCACTCACAAGGACAACTTGTCCACAATTATTATCAATTAACAATTCAACACTTTTTTTATTCTACTATTAATTTTGTATATCAATTATTATCATTCTACAATTTTAATTGACACATATAAAAGACTTCAACTCTCTTTTCTTGTTAGGGCTGGTACTTTTATTCTGAAAACTGACCGAACCGATGAGAAAATAAACCGAACCGACTTATGTGTAATACGGTAATCGAAAACAGGTTACCGAAATGTTATCAGTTCGGTATCGGCTCTAAACCCATTAGGGTTCGATTTTGAACTTATTATGTTATGTCTTTTGCCCCCTCTCAACGAATTTTCTGATTTCGCCCCTGCTTATATGCTTATCAAATACAACCTCAAGCATGTACTTATGTTTGTATATTATGGAATGACAATGAAAGAATGTGATTTTATTTTAAAATATGTTTGATTTCTTTTATTAGGGAAAACATTAGGGTAACGAGACAAATGAACCTTCCCAATATCTACCTTTAGAGAAGATGATGTATATATTTTGGTCATCATTTGTACACTTCATTACTATTTTTTCAGTAATATGGGTCCCTTACAAGTCATATTCTACGTGCATAAATTTTCCAGACTGTATATTACTTTATTAGTCCCGCTCACCTGCCCACGGTGGGCAGTGCCCACCACTTTGTTTTATATGAAAACCGTATTCTGAGAATACGTTTTTCAATTGTTTTATATGAAAAACGTATTCTAGAATACGTTTTTCAATTAAATTTAATTGAAAAACGTATTCTCAAAATACGTTTTTCATATAAAACAAAGTGGTAGGCACTGCCCATCGTGGGCAGGTGATGAAAATTTATTACTCTATTATTACAAACGAAACATTATAAATAAATTTATGGCCAAGTCTTTAATTAATTGGATTATAAGTTTGTGTCAATTGATCAATTATTCACAAAGCAGAAATCAATAAAAGCACTTAAACGTTACTGCTCGTTTGCCTTTAATTCATGGAACCTTCCTCAATTCATACGTGTGTACGTACTCCACTTACGTGGCAAACAGTTAATTAAACATCAAATAAATACAGACACGTCGAATTAAACACAAAGACAAACACGATAGAAGTTTCAAATTTGCAATCAATATAATACTAGTAGTTAAGTCTGTTTATTGTGCTACCAATTAAAGGTGAATGCCTATCGATGGCTCTGTTAATTAGGTTGAATTAAATGGCTGTAAAAGGAACAACATATTCTCATTTTCCACATATTTTTTTATTGGAAGTGTTACCATCCTGTCACGGGATGGTACCGTTGTCTTGCGTAGCCGTTGATATACATATAATCTAGTAATGTATCGATAATCTACATTTAAAAAATACCACGGAACCATCTCGTAACGTGATGGTAGCATTCTCATTTTTTTTATGAGCTAATCTGATTGTTAGGAGGTTCATTTCATTATTTTCTCAATAAAAATATATAATTATTATATAAAACGTTATATTTTTATTTGTATTATATTATTGAGTATAATGTTATAGTTTGAATATAAATATATATTGAAAAAAATATGACTACTTCTAACGTTGGTCTAATAGTCTCACAAATATTATAATTGAGAAAATACAGTAAAAGCTGGTTTGGTTTTTAAAAAGATAAATGTAAACTATTGCTGCCTACAAAAAAAATAAAATAAAGTTTGTAATTAAATTAAAATTTAGAAATAAAATAAATATAAAATTTAAACTCGCATAACATTCATTCAACGCAGGATTTAACGGTGACGGAAAAGCCTTACCGGCGAGTGATGAATGAAGAGAAATCTATCGAAATAGTTGACGGCGAGATACGCGGTTAACGGCTGAAAACCGAAAAATCTTTGTACCTGCACAGCACAAAGAACGTGAATCAGCGCCTCGGTCTATCGTGCGCCGTAAACTACTGATTCATTAACCTCCAGCTAGCAATAACTAACTCGCCCCGGCGTACGATAACCAAAATCAAATTTAACTCGCGCAAGACAATCAGCCAACTGCGCACGATATAGCCGGAATCAAATTTAACCGTCGAAAAGATTGATTACCTTGAGGATCCAAACAACAGATTCCGATCTAGCGGAAGCATTGATCGATTGGCTGTTGAAATCAAAGCTAATTCGAGCCGGATCTCTCTCGTCTTCTAGGAGTCCGGCGATGGATTCCTCGCCGTACGGCAGCAGAGATTCGAGGTCCGATGAGTATTCCGGCGAGTAATCCTCCCCGTCACCGGAGAATACGGTGCTGGAGGACTCGCAGCAGAGAAGGTCGGGGCAGGTGAGTGACATGGCAATTTGACCACCGGCGAGCGCTCGTCATCCTCTTCGCATCATGTTGGATGCAATTGAATTGGCTTCGACTTTCTCTGGTCGTTGATCGGAATGTTCGCCGGAGATTGGTCGGAAAGTTCGCGAGAGCACACGAGAAGTGCGTGAGTAGGGAGTGTAAATAGGATTGTTTGGTTTGGTTTGGATTATATAAATAGGATTGGAAACATGAACACATGTGGGCTTTTTTTCCAAAATAAATAAATAAAAAATAAAAATTTGGATTACATAAGCATCAATTAGTATTAGTACAATGGTTAAATAAGTGAGCATATATTAAAGAAACAATATTTTAAACCAAAAAATATATATAATGAATATAAATTCATTTGTGTAAACAATTAAATGTCAATTTAATTATTTTAAAAGTTTGATAATTTTTTTTTTTTTTAAAAAAAAAAAGATTTGGGCCAATCAACATATGAAGATTGGTATATAATTGTGTACTGAATAGATCCAAACCCATTACTCCAATCTTTAGTGGAGCTTGGATTTGATTTGACAAATTGAAGTTGTAATCTTAAATAGTTGATGTGAATGATTGTAATAATCAACCTTTTTATATAAAAGTAATTTCTTCTTTTATCTCTTAAGTATATTTATTTTAACACACATATGAAGACACTATTCATGAATAATAAAAAGTTTATGGAGCCATCGGGTGGTTTTCTTATAGAGTCATCCATCATTTAATGTGTTGACACCTGTTCAAGGTGTATTTCCTGCAAGACACGTGTCAATACACCTGTCCATTGTAATTTATATGACTACACATTACTAATTTTGTACTAAATTTAGGAGAAAACCTTTATGCACACCAACCTCAACTACCAACTGTAGGGTAATCTTGTCATAAATTTAAAATTTTGGTAAGTGCATATGTTTTTTGAGTTACAATAATTTGAACTCCCTATTTTATGACAGTTAAAATTATCCCTAAATGTAGGGATGGGTTTGGTACTTTTGTAGTTAATGTTGAACCTAAAGGAGAATAGATTAGCTTTAATTTCATTAAATATATTTAAAAAATCTATTAAAAACAATAAAGCTATTTATAAAAAAATTTGGGGAAAAAATTTCGAACCCTAAAATCGCGCAGACACCCACTCCGCGTAGGCACGACTGGGCAGTGATAAAAAATACGTTGAAAATTTCTTGCACATACACAGATGAATTCGGTTAGGAGGCGAAGCTTGTGATTCAAGCCAAATTTCGTCTTCCTCTTCTTTGATTTTGATTTTTATTTTTAGATTCGATTTTTCTCGGACGATTTTTTAGATTTGGGGATAGTTAAGAGGCAGATTAATCGGTGATTGAGTGCATTCGGACTGAAATTCTCGTTTCGCGTTCAAATCTGGCCGGACAAATTGTGGTGGTTTTCTTGAAAACGCCGTCGTTCAGGAACAGCAGCTTCTGCTGCGAGTTTCCGCCAGCGCCTGGGGGAGCAATGTTGTCGGTCTACCTCAACGACCTGAGGAGGAACGCCGCAGGCGGCAGCGAGGAGATGGTCGAGTTCACGCTCGAGCTGGACGGCAACTCGGTGGTGCTGTGCAGAGTCCGATCTGTGTGATTTTAGGGTTCGAACTTGACCCGATTTTTCCCCAATTTTTTCTGTGAATTGTGAAGGTGATACGCGTGGAGGGGGTATTTATAGACAAGTGAGCTGAGGTGGATTAAGTTGTCCACGTGTAGTTCCAGTTGGCTTTTACGGTGTTCTCAGGCGGAGTTCCGACGACTTCGGCCGGATTAGGGTAGAAAGACCGAATTTTTAAAATATTTTGGCTACTACTGTCAAAATGAAAAGAAGGTGGCTAAAATTGCCAAACCGTCTAAGTTACTGGCTAGTTTTTGCAATTTGGCCTGTATACAAAATACAAATTCTTATATTAAACTACGAAATAATTAGGTGAGTCGATCTGTCATATTTTATAAAAATCAAATATATATTCATATTATATAATATCACACTTTTATTTATATTATTATATAAATAAAAATTACCGAGCGGCTTATTTATTTTAAAAAAAAATTAAGTAGACAAAAATAAAAAAAAATGGGTGGAAAAAAATCAAACACACGTATTCTCGGAATACGTTTTTCTAATTAAAATTAATTAAGAAAAACGTATTCCTCGAATACGTTTTTATATTTTTCCTAAATTAAAAAAATAAACACAAAATTCATTTAATTTTCAAATATAAAAAAATAATAAATATAAAACGTATTAACAGAATACGTTTTCAAATAACGAAAAACGTTTTTAAAAATATGTTTTTAAACTGCCATTAACCGTATTCAAGGAATACGTTTTTTAACTAAAATAACTGTCGGTAACCGTATTCCGGGAATACGTTTTTTGACTAAAAAAACTGTCGGTAACCGTATTCTCGGAATACGTTTTTTGAATTAAATATAAAAAAAAAATTCTTCCATTTCATTTGCGCAGAGAGCAGAGCAGAGAGAGAGAGAGCAGCAAACAAAAGGAAAAACAAGGAGAAACAAGCGAAAACAATCGGAAAAAAAAACTCGATCCAATTCTCACCCCGACGTGAACCGACAACAACGACACGAGACTCCTTTCCGATTAATTCATTCGCACGAGGTATATTGGCTTATCTTAACTTTTTACAATGTTTGGAGTTGTTTGGAGATTGAGAATTGTTATAATATGTTTGAATGTGTTAGTGTTTGAAGATTGTAAATTACTAATTCATTATCGATTATGTATGTATGTTATTCGAGATGGGAATTTTGTGTGTAAATTATCAATTTTGTATTGTTTGGTTGTTGTTGGGGTTAGGGTTTTTGGAGATTAGGGCTTTCAATTTATCCGAATTACAGATAAATTTGATGTTATTGTTCGATTTTT